GAACTCTTCCTGAGGGCCCCCGAGCCCCAAAGCACTAGTGTGACGAAGTTCGAGACGTGGACAGAAAGGCCCCAAGAGGGTACTGCAGGGTGTCCTTCTGAGCGCCTGCGAAAGTGACACCCATCTAAGGCTCTCTTCACGTAGTCTTGCCGCCGCCGTTGGGGGCCTCTAGGAAGCTCCTCGAAATTACCGCAAGGCCTCAGGAAGGTACCAAGACGGCCCCAAGAGCGCCTTCAGGGTGGCACGTTCGGCGCGCGTGAAAGTGCCAACCCCGAGCTATCTAAACCGCCTCGTAGTTTTCCTGACGGCCCCCTGGCAGCTTTATGGAAACCTCTCTGGGCCTCATCGGGAACTCGGAAAGCCCAAAAGTTCCAAGATGACCCTTCAGGGTGTCACTTTCAGCGCCCATGAACGTGAAAGCCGCACGGGGCCCCTTACGGGGGAATCATTTCCAGCGCCCGTGAAAATGACATCCACCAGTGATGGATTGACGCCCTCTTGAAGCCCTTCTGGGGGCCATCTGGTTGTTTGGGGGTCTTCCCAAGACATCCTCGGAACTTCCAAAATCCCTTGGGAGAGTCCCAAGAATTACCCTTAAGGCCTTCCAAAATGTCACTTTCAGTAGCCGTGAAAGTTGCACCGCCTAGGGCTCTTTCGAGGCCCTGTGGAGCCCTGGGAAGACATCAAGGTGAACACAAGCTGACCCAACAAGCATCGGAATGCCCACGCACGGTAACGGCAAGGAATCGCTATCAGCACGTACAATGTCAAGCAACGGCATGCACACAACTTCTGCAAATCAAGAAGTCGGTAGCGTGGAAAGGCCGAATACCTCGGTAGCGTCAGACCTGGGTAAATTTGAAGACGACAGAGCGCTGATGCTCTGCCGGAACGATCCCACCGTGCCGGGTGCACGTGGTGGGGTGCCCCAAACCGAACGAAGCAAAAAACTACGCCGAGGTCCCTCGGGTCTTCCAGCGGGAGACCTGCGCGCCGCCGCGCCGGGCCCGGGCTGGCCGTGCTGTCCGGCAGAAGGGGTGGAGGAGGGGAGGCGCAGGCAGACGACGCCGCACGTGCAGGCGGGAGGCCAGGTGCCAGCGGGGCGGGCGCGCAGGCGGGGGGGGGGTGGCCGGGAGGCATGGCGCGGTCTGTATGTCGCTGCGTGTGTTGCTCAAATACCTCTGACTGGCGGCTGCTCCTCCCCTCACATCTGTGCATGTTGACTGCGGTCTTCTCTGGCGTGCCAGCTGTTTGGATTGGCCTACATGGTAACGTTTAAGCTGCATTGGGGGAGTCGTTCTTAGCGGACGCGCCTCGTCTGCCATCACGCCCCTGGCAGCGTGTCGGGCTGGCGGTGTCCGCAGATGTGCTGCCAGACAAAGACCGCAATGCAAGTGCGATCCTTATCTACAGCGAAGCTGGCTCACATGTTAAGCTGGGCGATTCGACGAGAGAACGACATGAAGTTCAAGTCCCCGTCGCCACTAGGAACGCCGCGAACGGTCCCTCGACGGGCCATGTATATACATATGTATGTATGTATGTCTGTCTGTCTGTCTGTCTGTCTGTCTGTCTGTCTGTATGTATGTATGCATGTATGTATGCATATGTGTGTATGTATGTATGTATGTATGTATGAATGTATGTATGTTTGTTTGTATGCATGTATGCATGCATGCATGCATGCATGCATGCATGCATGCATGTATGTATGTATGTGTGTATGTATGTGTATGTGTGTATGTATGTATGTATGTATGTATGTATGTATGTATGTATGTATGTGTATGTATGTATGTGTATGTATGTATGTATGTATGTATGTATGTATGTATGTATGTATGTATGTATTGATGTATGGATGTATGTATGTATGTATGTGTGTATGTGTGTATGTATGTATGTATGCATGCATGCATGTAAATATATGTGTGTATGTATGTGTATATGTATGTATGTATGCATGTATGCATGCATGCATGCATGCATGTATGTATGTATGTATGTATGCATGCATGCATGCATGCATGCATGTATGTAGGTAGGTAGGTAGGTAGGTAGGTAGGGAGGTAGGTAGGTAGGTAGGTAGGTATGTGTATATATATATGTGTGTAAGTTGCTCTATAAAACAGATTACAAAAGTGAGCCTGACGAAGGAACAAACCATATGCAGCTGTGGGTGCCGCAGCCGTGAGCATCGACCTCGGTGGCGCCCCTCGTGGTCACGAACCGTGCGAGGGGGGGGGCTGCCAACATAGGGCGGGGGGGGGCGCATGGGAACGCCGCCACGGGGGCCTTCGGTTGAGCTCCCAACGGGGGCCCCACGTGCACGTGCCAGGGGCGTGGCGAGGTGGAGCGGGGGCGCGAGAGATAGGACGCGGACTGTCCCGCCTCGGAAGGCGGCCTGCGCTCTCCCGGCGGCCCCCTTCGGAGGCTCTCGACCCCCGTCCTCGGCACCGCCTCCGCGCCGCGGGCTCGCTTTCTGTGGGCCTCGTGCCCG